GAATTGCTTGAACCCAGGAGGTGGAGGTTGCAGTGAGCCGAGATGGCGCCACTGCACTCCAGCCTGGCCGACAGAATGAGACTCCATCTCAAAAAAAAAAAAAAAAAAAAGCGGGGGGAAGATGAGGAAGGAATACACTTAAATACACCTGCATTAATTTAGATAAAGCATAGAAGGATCTTTCATGGAGGACACACAAGAACCAGTTAACAATGGATATTTTAGTGATAAAAATGGACTACTGGGACAATGGGGTGGAAAAAAATATTTCCACTGAATATCATTTGACTCTTTTGAATATTATATCATGTAAATGTGTCACCTATTTAAAATATATAAAGACTATGAGGCAATATGGAAAAATGCTTATAAGTTGAAAATGAATTAAAAAATGATGTACTGGGTCGGCCATGGTGGCTCATGCCTGTAATCCCAGCATTTTGGGAGGCCGAGGCAGGCAGATCACCTGAGGTTGGGAGTTTGAGACCAGCCTCACCAACATGGAGAAACCCCATCTCTACTAAAAATACAAAGTTAACCAGGCATGGTGGCGCATGCCTGTAATCCCAGCCACCCAGGAGGCTGAGGCAGGAGAATCGCTTGAACCAAGGAGGTAGAGGTTTTGGTGAGCTGAGATCACGCCATTGCACTCCAGCCTGGGCAACAAGAGTGAAACTTTTGATGTACTGTATATTTGGTAGGATTACAACAATACATATAAATGCATGTTAAAATTTCTGTCTGTAGAAGAAACATTCTAGGGAATTTTTCTTTCTTGTAATTTTTCTCATGAATTTCAATGATAAACATATATTGTTTTCATTATTAGAAAATAATTAGTGACATAGGAAATACTAAGAGAATTGTCCATTCTGCATAATCTCAATTATTCAACAAGGTTTTGAAAAAGACTGGAAGGAAATATACAAGATGTTCCCAGTGATTGACTCTGGGTATCAGATAATAGGTGATTTTAAGTGTATTACAATGATCTTGTGCTACTTTCATCATGGACGGACACAAGGACGGAAGAAAGGGAAAAAGGAAGGGAAGGAGAAAGAAAGGGAGGGAATTAGTAAAGGGAATTCTTGAAAATAATGGTTGTGTTAAGGTAGTAAGATTATGGTCATTTTTGTTGCTTTGTTCAGTTTTCCAAACTTTTCATTATGTGGTTTTGTGTTATTTTATCGGGAACAAAGCCCTGACTGTCACAGAGCGCAATTCCAGCCCCAACGTTCTGCCAGTTTTTGTAAAAGAGTTAGAGATCCTGCATCTGTTGTCTCCAGATTTTTTAATGATCGCCATTCTAACTGGCGTGAGAGAGGACATGGAGAAATAGGAACACTCTTACACAATTGGTGGGAGTGTAAATTAGTTCAACCATTGTGGAAAACAGTGTGGCTATTTCTCAAGGATCTAGAAATAGAAATTCCATTTGACCCAGCAATCCCATTACTGGGTATATACCCAAAGAACTATAAATCGTTCTAATATAAAGACACATGCACACTTATGTTCATTGCAACCCTGTGCACAATAGCAAAGACCTGGAACCAACCCAAATGCCCATCGATGATAGACTGGACAAAGAAAATGTGGTACATATACACTGTGGATCTCAGCTCACTGCAGCCTCCGCCTCCTGGGTTGAAGCAATTCTCCTGCCTCAGCCTCCTGAGTAGCTGGGATTACTGGCATGCATCACCACACCTGACTAGTTTTTTTTTGTATTTTTAGTAGAGACAGGGTTTCATCATATTGGCCAGGCTGGCATAGAACTCCTGACCTCAAGCGATCTGCCTGCCTCGCCTCCCAAAGTGTTGGGATTACAGGTGTGAGCCACTGCACCTGGCCATGAAGCACTTTAAAGGTGTAAAGATGCCAAAGTGGGTGAATCGCCTGAGGTCAGGAGTTCAAGACCAGCCTGGCCAGGATAGTGAAACCCCGTCTCTACTAAAAATACAAAAAATTAACTGGGCTTGGTGGCAGGTGCCTGTAGTCCCAGCTACTTGGGAGGCTGAGGCAGGAGAATCACTTGAATTTGTGAGACAGAGGTTGCAGTGAGCCGAGATCGTGCCACTGCACTCCAGCCTGGGCAATAGGGTGAAACTCTGTCTCAAAGGAAAAAAGTGTAAATGATGTCAAATGATGAATGGATAAATAAAATGTGGTATAACCATACAACAGAATATTATAAAAAGCCATAAAAAGGAATAAAGTCCTGATATATGCTACAACATGGATGCACCTCGAAAATGTTACACTAAGAGAAAGAAGCCAGACACGAAAGACCACACACGTATGATTCCATTTGTATGGGATATTCAGAATAGACAAATCCACAGAGGCAGAAAGCAGATATGTGCTTGCCAGGGTCTGGGAGGAGGCAAGAATGGAGAGTGACTGCGTAATGAATGGGTACAGGATTTCCTTTGAGGCGATGAAAATATTCAGGAACTCAACGGTGGTGACGGTTGGAAGACACTGTGAATATACTAAATGTCCCTGAATTGTACACTTTATTTTTTTGGTTTTCTATTTTTTTGAGATGGATTCTTGCTGTTGCCCAGGCTGGAGTGCAGTGGTGTGATCTCAGCTCATTGCAACCTCCACCTCCCAGGTTCAAGGGATTCTCCGGCCTCAGCCTCTAAAATGGTCAAAATGGCAAATCTTATGTTATGTGTTTTTTTTTTTTTTTTTTTTTTTTTTTTTTTTAGATGGAGTTTTGCTCTGTCGCCCAGGCTGAAGTGCAGTGGCAATATCTACACTCTCTGCCTTCTGGGTTCAAGTGATTCTCCTGCCTCAGCCTCCCGAGTAGCTGGGAGGTGCATGCCACCACCCCCAGCTAAGCTTTTGTATTTTTGGTAGACATGGGATTTCACTGTGTTAGCCAAGATGGACTCGATCTTCTGACCTCGTGATCTGCCCACTTGGCCTCCCAAAGTGCTGGGATTACAGGTGTGAGCCACCGTGCCTGGCCTTCCACAGTTTTTAAAAACTGAAAAAAGTATAAATGATGGCTCAAATCTGAGTGTATTATGATTATTATTTCCACAACTAATAAAAAAGAGTAAGTGTCCAGGATTTCAGAGTTCTTCCTCTTTTTTAGGGCAGAGAAAGAAGTGACTAGAAAAACAAAAGAAAAGGCAATCCCACCCTGAAAGTGTGCAGCACTCCAGAGACAGGCACTTCGGGTTCAGCTCAGGGGAAGTGTGACCAGAGGGAAAACTCAGAGTGGCGAGGCCAGGGAAGCACACTGACCTGGGAATTTCAAAATCCATCTGCGTGGGCTCACCCTTTAATTTGGTGGCTGTGTGATCCCTTGGGGGAGATTTAATCCACAGCTTCCTGCACCCACACTGTTTCCCAGCCAGACTGGAAGACTGTGCTTCCTGGTTCCTGCCTGAGGGTAAAGGGGCAGCTTCCTGAACCAAAAGGGACACACACCTGGCTTAGCTCCTGAGTGACCCTAGGGCTGGAGGTACTCTTGGATGAAGATGTTTTGGTGACAATAATGATGCGACATTTCGATGATGATGAAGTGATGTAACAAGAGCAATTTACCCACAGGACGCTCAGATGCACAGAGAAGATATTCTCTCTTTTTCTCTGTTACTGATTCAATCTCTCCCATGAGCCCCACTTGGGGTGGCAGAGATGGGAAGGGAAGGGGACAACTTGCCAAGTAGGTGCCTTGGTCTACTCTCATTTGAACTCTGTATCTAACAGGTAAACACTCAGTCGCCACATTAATAGGTACATTTCTCCCTTCCCTACCCCCTTGTCCCCATGCCACCTTGGAACCTATTGCTTCCCTGCCCTGTCCCTTCTCCCCCCACAATGCAGCAGGACCTGAGGAGCAGACCCTTTGTCTCTGCCTAAGACACTCTGTCTCTTCCTAAACTTCCCTGACCAGAAGCAGCAACTGGGGCACTGGTTTAAAATATTCATTCCATGCTGGGCACAGTGGCTCATGCCTGTAATCCCAGCACTTTGGGAGGCCAAGATGGGCGGATCATTTGAGGTTAGGAGTTCCAGATCAGCCTGACCAACATGGCAAAACCCCATCTCTACTAAAAATGCAAAAAAATTAGCGGGGTGTGGTGGCACGTGCCTGTAGAGCCAGGTAGTACTCAGGACTAAGGCAGGAGAATTGCTTGAACCGAGGAAACAAAGGTTGCAGAGAGCCGAGAGACAGAGCAAGAATCTGTCTCTGAAAATATAAACAAATAAATAAAATAAAGCATTCATTCCCTGTGCCTACCCTGGAGAATCTGATTAAGTAGATTTGAGGAGGGGCCCAGGAATCCATGTTTTTTAGCTCTCCCCCAGAAGGTTAGAGGCACACTGCTCTGTCAGATGCTGAGTTCTTTCTAGCAAGGTGTACAGTGACCTCCGACTTGTTAAGAGAACAGGAACTTCAAACGCTGTAAGACAATTCCTTTGCCTCAAAGCTTTGCTTTCTAGAGCGTTGCTTACAGGGAGCTACCACCCCACCCCACTACCAGTTAAAGGAAACTTGTTAGTTGAGGGAAAGGAAGGACTTTGTCTTTCTTTCTTTCTTTTTTTTTTTTTTTTTTTTTCAGGTTTGCGCCATTTCCTTTATTAGAATTTTATTGAAGACAACTGTGAGATTGGGAAAAGACCTGAGTCTTTTCTGACTCTGAGTGGGCCTAGAGGATATGAACACTCTCCAGTGCCCCATATTCTCCTCCTTGTTTGAAGATGACAGCAGTGACATTATGCTCTCCAGCTCTTCAGTCAGTCGTCATGGCTACCTAAACATGGAATGTCCTAAGGTGGCTCAGGTCATTGATAGGGAACTGGGGCCATGACCTTGGAAATGTGAGCTGCTGAGGGGGGCCAAGTGGTCTATGGAAATTAGGATCTCCCTGCGTGGTGGGATTACAAGGCAACCAAGAAACACAAGCAGAAACAGAAGAAAACGGAACTAAGACTTGAAATACCCACAGAACAGAATCATACATAAAACAAGTAAACTATATTTGGGAGCTGGGGTGAATTCATCACTGGTGACTGGAACCTTGAGTCGGCATTTTCTCAGGAAGGTGGGCTGGAATGGAGTGGGCTGTGTTTTGCAAGGGCTGTAGTGGTTTAGAATCTCTCACCTGCCTGGTTCCCCAGCTGGGCCTCAGGCCTGTCTCCCCAGAGTAAATGCCCAGGATCATTGAGGAAGCGTTGGCTGCGCTGGCATGTGAGGCAGGTCTGTACTGTCCAGCGCTGTCCCCTTTCAGCTGCCGCAAGACGAGCCGCTTCGCAATGGTCCTCTCCATGTGGCAGTAAAATCTTGCCAGCGCCTGGTTCTCGGGGTCCTGGGCAAGGACACAATGGGCAGCCTGGTACAGGAAGCTGAGCCTCTGGAAGGCCTCGCGGTCCTTCACCAGCCCCGCCATCAGCGCCGTCAGACTTTGTCTTTCAAACTGGTATCTGTTCCTCTTTCAACGCAGGGAACCTGTTGATTCTGGGCTGGGAAGCCCGGGGGCCAATGTGAGTAAAGGAGTTATGCTTTCAAGAATGTATTTTAAAATCTCCATTCGCGAACAATAATATCTAACGTTCATTGAGCGCTTACTATGTGCCAAGTATTGTGTTACATGCGCTCATGGATTCTCTCCTTTAATCCTCACACCCTTATACTGCCATTACCCCCAGTTTACAGATAAGGAAAGTGTGAGGCAGATACAGGTTAAACAGCTTGCCTGGGGTCACTGTCCCTCATGGAAAAGCCAGGATTTGAACTGAGTGCATGTAACTCTAAAAGTTCTCTGAATCGCTAAGATCCCCTTACCTACTTGAGTTTGAAGCGTCTTGGGAATCACCTGGCTCAGCTTTCCTATTTTGTAGCTGTGGAGATACAGGCTTGTACCCAGTAGGAAAATGACTTACCGAGCGACACACAGCTAGACAGCAGCAAGGCTGGAAATGGAACCCGGGCCTGGACTCCTGATCTAGTGCTCCTCCCCTCAGCCTTGGTGCCCCCATTTGATGTGCCATCCTGTACATTCAGGAATTGCCACTGTTCTGAGCTGCTGAACTCCCTGAGGACTGTGGAGGTCTTCAGGGGACTGAGGTCTGCCCTGTGCGTTTCACAATTTCGCTGAGTTCTTTTTTTTTTTTTTCTCTGAGACAGTTTTGCTCTGTCACTAGGGGCCAGGCTAGAGTGCAGTGGTGTGATCTTGACTCATTGCAACATCCACCGCCCGGATTCAAGCAATTCTCCTGCCTCAGCCTCCCAAGTAACTGGGACTACAGGCACACACCACCATGCCCAGCTAATTTTTGTATTTTAGTAGAGATGGGGTTTCACTATGTTGGCCAGGATGGTCTTGATCTCTTGACCTTGTGTTCCACCTGTCTCGGCCTCCCAAAGTGCTGAGATTACAGGCGTGCGCCACCACACCGGGTTTCACTGGGTTCTTAAAATAAGTGGGGCCCATCCAGGGCATTGCTTCAATGTCATTGCACCATAAACTTCTACTCCTTCATGTCTAATGTGCACATTTCTTGGTTATGACTCTGTAAACTATTTGCAGTCTAGGTACTGCAGATTTTTTTTTCTTTTTTTTTTTTTACACAGAGCCTCACTCTCTCACCCAGGCTAGAGTGCAGTGGCGCCATCTCGGCTCTTTGCAACCTCTGTCTCCTGCGTTCAAGCAATTCTTATACCTCAGCCTCCCAAGTAGCCACCACACCCAGCTAATTTTTGTATTTTTAGTAGAGACGGGGTTTCACCATGTTGGCCAGGCTGGCATTGAACTCCAGACCTCAAGTGATCCGCCTGCCTCGGCCTTCCAAAGTGCTGGGATTACAGGCATGCGCCACTGTGCCCAGCCCCTGCAGATTTTTAGGAGTTGAAAATTAAAGGCTAAGACCAGGCATGGTGACTCATACTTGTAGTCCCAGTCCTTTGGGTGGCTAAGGCGGGAGGATCACTTGAGCCCCAGAACTTGAGACCAGCCTGGGCAATATGGCCAGACTTCCATCACTACAAAAAATAAAAATAAAAAAATAAAAAAAACAAAGAAAAAAGAAAATTAAGGACTGGTAGCCCCATCAGGACCTCTCTAGACCTAGGCATGCTTCTTTCACCTTTGCAAGGTGCAAAGCCCAGAGGCAAGAAACCCCTTTGAGGATGTAATTGGGATGAGAAGCCTTTTGACCTTCAGTCTCAGGATCTTTGTCCCAGCCCATTTGACAACCTGAAACGTAGAGCTGTGACTCCCCAGTAGAAGATGAAAGGGAGTTCACCAATATTTAGCAAGCAGCTGTGATAAACTTGAGCCTGTGTTAAACCTTTGGACAGAGTTATTGCACTTAATTCTCACCCTGGCCGTGCACGGTTGGTATGATTTTTTTTTTTTTTTGAGATGGTGTCTCACTCTGTCACCAGGTTGGTCTGCAATGGCACGATCTCAGCTCACTCAACCTCCCTAGTAGCTGGGACTACAGGTGCCTGCCACCATGCCTGGCTAATTTTTGTATTTTTAGTAGAGACAGGGTTTCACCATGTTGGCCAGGCTGGTCTCGAGCTCCTGACCTCAGGTGATCCACCCGCCTCGGCCTCCCAAAGTGCCGGGATTACAGGCGTGAGCCACCGCACCCTGCCGGTCGGTACTATTATCTTCATTTTACAGATGAAGAAAGCAAGACTCATAGAACCTTGCCTCAGGTCTTACAGCTTTTAAATGAGGTGACCTGTTACTTGAATTTAGAGTCTGTTGGACTCCAATGACTCTGTATCTAGGACACCGTGAAGCCTTAAAGTGTAAAAGGTTATCTGCAAGTCTTAGTAAAGTTCTCTCTAAATCAATTGCAGGGGTTGCTTGGGGGAGTTTTTGCCTTTAGGCTCATTTCGTTACCTATTAGTTCCACTATCTGCTGCCAGACATGGTTCCCCTTCATCCGCCCTTGCTCCAGATCCTCCCCTGGGTTGGCAGGTCCCAATTTTGTCCTGCTGTTATCTGGAGGTCACACTTGTGCCCATCTCAGCTTTCATTTTCTAGCCTGGAGGAGTAAACAGCCTTAATGGGGAGGCGTCCTGAAAATGTCAATCACTGCATGTCCCACTCAAATCTCTTTTAAGGGACTTCTCGCTTCCCAACCTGCCTTCCAGGTCTCCAGCTGATTGCTCTGTGATGGACACCTGACCAAGGTCAGTTCAGGTGTAATTAGTCCAGCTACTTGTATTAATCAGATATCTTTTGCTTAGCAAAGAGGAGCTGTATTAATCAGATATCTTTTTGGGAATTTTGGAACTGGGCACTGATCAGTAGTGGCACTTGTATCATAGGTTGTGATGTAGACAGGGAACTAGAAAGTAGAAAAGGGCCTAATGAGCCAGTGAATTGAGGAATTAAAAAACCAAGCCTATGAATGAGAAAAGAATAGAGTATATGTGCACAGGGTACAGAAAAGTTACAAATATGTGCATGTGGGTGTATACATGTGTGCGTGTGTGTGTGTGTGTGTGTATATATATATATATACACACATATATGTATGCATATATATAAAACAATTGCCATGAGGCCATGCTGTGCAGAAGTTGCTGTTCATGGAGTTTCATGAACCCCTCTGAATCCTTTCATAAAGCCTAAAACCCCGTTTTCCTGAGATAAAATGGATGGGTTTCTTTTTTTTCCTTTTTTGAGATGGAGTCTTGCTCTGTCACCCAGGCTGGAGTGCAGTGGCATGATATCAGCTCACTGTAGTATCTGCCTCCCAGGTTCAAGTGATCCTCCTGCCTCAGCCTCCCAAGTAGCTGGGATTACCGGTGTGCACCACCACACCAGGCTATTTTTTGTATTTTAAAATATTTTTTTCTTTGGAATCAAAGAGTTTTAGTCTAGAGTATGAGGAAACTTGAAATAATTTACAGGGCTTGAACTTCTTTACAATTGGCAAAGGAACCTCTGGATTAAGAGTTCCCAAAGGACTCCAACCAACATGTCACATGGAGCAGCTTCTTCTTTTTTTTTTTTTTTTTTTGATGGAGTTTCGCTCTGTCACCCAGGCTGGAGTATAATTGTGCAATCTCGGTTCACTGCAACCTCTACCTCCTGGGTTCAAGTAATTCTCCTGCTCTAGCCTTCCAAGTAGCTGGGACTACAGGTGCCTGCCACCACACCTGGCTAATTTTTGTATTTTTAGTAGAGATGGGATTTCACTATGTTGGCCAGGCCGGTCTCAAACACCTGACCTCAAGTGATGCTCTCAACTCGGCCTTCCAAAGTGCTGGGATTACAGGTGTCAGCCACCACCCCTAGCCCTGGTGCAGCTTTTAAGCACAGTAAAAAGTGGTGTCATATAGTTATCTATTGCTGTGAATAATACCATCCTAAAACTTGGAGGCTTAGCTAACAACCATCACTTCTTTTGCTCCTAAATCTGTACTTGGGGCAAGGCTTGGTAGAGACAGCTGGTTTCTGCTCCACTTGGCATCAGCAGGGAAATTCAAAGGCTGGGGTGGAATCACAGAAAGCTCAATCACTCACACACTTGCTCCCATTTGAGGATGGGTGCTGGCTGAAAGGGGCCTCAGCTGGGGCTGTCCGCCAGACACCTACACACGGTCTCTCCATGTGGTTTCTCCCCTTCCTTGTGGCATGGTAATTGGGTTCCAAGAACAAGCATTCCTAGAGGACTGGGTGGAAATTATATCACCTTTTATGACTCAGCCTTGGAAGACACCTGACTCTTAAGGAAAGAGCGTAAATAATGGGTGGAGTGTTAACATTACTTTGCATGTTGGATGGGAGATATTGTAGTGCTTGTTTTTGGGAAATATAATCTGCCACATATAGCTAATGAGCTGCAAATGTTAGGAGGATGGAGACAGTGGGGAAAGGCCCTGGCCCACATGCAGACAACTGCACGTAAAATGTAGCAGTAGATTAAGAGGCGGATAAAGCTGCGGCTGCAGAGGGGAGACAGGACTCTAAGAAAAGATGTGTAGGCCGAGCATGGTGGCTCATACCTGTAATCCCAGAACTTTGGTAGGCTAAGGTGGGCAGATCACCTGAGGTCAAGAGTTCAAGATCAGTCTGACCAACACTGACGCTACGAAAAATACAAAATTATCTGGGCATGGTGGTGCACATCTGTAATCCCAGCTACTTGGGAGGCTGAGGCAAGAGAATCACTTGAAATCAGGAGGCGGAGGTTGCTGTGAGCTGCGATCACAGCCCTGCACTCCAGCCTGGGCAACAGAGCAACTCTGTCTCAAAAACAAAGAAAGATACCAGTCCATCATCTTCCAGCCTCTGTTGATACTGAAAATAAGTCTGTTGTTACTCGATTTGAGTTCCTTTGTAGGCCATTGTCTTAATTCCCCAGAGGCATGTAAGATTTTTTTTTTTTCTTTTTGGTGCCCTGGATTTTCTCTTACATGTGTGT